AACTCAAATGTCTAAGAACAAGAGAAGATGAATGTCCCAGCTCAAGAAGAGACACAATTCATCCTTCCTCCACCATTTTGTTCTTTTCAGGTGAGCCCTCAGTAGATTGAATGATGGCCACCCACACTGGAGAGGGCAGATCTTCCTTACTCAGTCTCCTGATTCAAATATTAATCTCTTCTGGAAACACTTTCACAGACATATTCAGAATAATGTTTAAGCGGCTATCTGGGCATCCCTTAATCCAGTCAAACTGACGCATAAAATTAACCATCAGAACTTGCCACATTACATTTAATCTGGGCACATTTTCCACACCTATGGAAAATTCCCCACTTCATGGGAAACCTTCATGTACTTTTATTAATGGACTTGTTTTTGCTCTGGTTTTACGTATATTTGCATTGACATGTGGTAGATAAAAATGCATGTAGAATAAGTGAATACATTAATATCTTTAAGGTTTTTGGCAAGGAAGCCCCAAGATGTCTTAGCCATTCTTGTCCAGTTATTATGTTTCTGGACATAATGTTTCTTTTTACTTAGACAATAGACTTTTAAACAGGCATGGCAATCACTTCAGGAATTTAACTTGATTGTGGACCTTAAATGTGATTCAGAACACGGAGAAGATCCGAGAGAAATGAAACTAGGTTATGGTGCATCCTACAATGTTAAACTGACCATCCTAGAGACAATTTTGCCTTCTCAATAACTTTCTTGAATGCACTCTTCACTTCCTTGTTCCTCAGACTATAGACCAGGGGGTTCAGCATGGGGATGACCATTGTATAGAACACAGATGCCATTTTGTCTGTGTCCATGGAGTGACTAGAGCTGGGTTGTAAGTACATGAAGATAATAGTCCCATAAAAGATGGTGACTGCAATGAAGTGAGAGGCACAGGTGGACAAAGCCTTCTGGTATCCCGAAGCAGAATGCATCTTTAGGATGGTGATAAAAATGAATATATAGGATATCAAGATAACCAGGAGAGCTAAAAAGATATTGAAGCTCACAACATAAACAAGAACAAGCTCACTAAAATATGTCTATCAGAGCAAGAGAGAACCACGACTGCTGGAATATCACAGAAAAAGTGATGGACTTCATTGGACTTACAGAAAGAGAGACTAAATGTGTCCCCAGTGTGGATGGAGGCATTCAGGAAACCACAGAGGTAGGAGCCTATGGTCAGACGAGCACATACACTTGTTGTCATGGTTGTGGTATAATGCAGGGGTTTGCACACTGCCACATAGCGGTCATAGGCCATTGAGGCCAAGAGGTAATTTTCCACAGTGGCAAAAGCTACAAAAATATACATTTGAGCAGCACATGCATTGTAGGAGATGACCTTGTCTTCTATAAGGAATCCAGCCATGACGGTGGGAGTGACAGCTGAAGAGTAACAAAAGTCCACTAAAGACAAGTTACTGAGAAAAAAGTACATGGGATTGTGAAGACAGGAATCCCAGAATATTACTACAATAATTCCCAGGTTTCCAACCAGAGTGATAATATAGATGAAGAGGAACATTATAAAGAGGGGAACCTGCAGTTCTGAGTCATTGGTTAGTCCTAGAAGAATGAACTGTGTTACTTCTGTCTTATTTTCCATCATTGCTCTGGGGGACTCACAGGATGCTTGTAGCAATACAAAAAGAAGGAACAATGTGATAAATAAATTGAATTAAAATTGAAAAGTATAAGTACAATATGTATTCCTTCATTGTAGCAATAACTTGTACTTCAAGATTCCCTAGAAAAAACGTGGCCTTGACAACCAAAGGTAGTGCATTAATTATACAGAATTACATACTGTTGAAACTGAAGAATCTTAATAGATTATTTGCACAATTTTTAGATGTTATAAATTTGTAAACTCATATGTAGAAAATTTACTAACCTGATCAAGATGACTCGTCTAGATGCATCTGTCTGTCAATTCACCTTTCCTGAGCAAGGTAAAAGCTGACGCATGTTGCTAATTTGCCAAGAACTTGTCTAGACATTTTAGACATATATTCATTATTTCCTTGCAACGATATTATGTATTTGATTAGTTGTTGCATTCATTTAAATTATGAAGCACAGGAGGTTGAGTAACATATTCATATTTATACAAGTATTAAATGGCAAGCCATGCTTTGGATCCATGCCAACTTTTGAACGCATGTTGAATGGTTCCTAAGTCTAATGGTCTAAACTGTATTTAAATCAAATTGAATACAACTCAATTTACAATCACTCATTGTCTCCTTTGGTACAAACTCAGTGTTTTGGGTTTCACAATGAAGTAAGCGAGTAATATACACATAGTGAAAGTGGTGGGATAACTGGGTTGTTAGGGGCATGTTCAACTAGCAGAAACAATTCTGAGAGAAGCCTATCATCAGATACGGCAGATACAGAGCTTGAGTTCTTGGAAGAGAGGCATGTCAGTCCACCACTTACCACCTGGGGACCACTGGTTCTAATCTAATTCCCTTAAACATCACATTTTCTTCTGTAAAACTAAAACAGTAATGTGACCTACTTTGAGGTAGTATTGTGAGAATTAAATAAGATAATCTATTAAAAATGCTAAATGTTAAGCACAGCCTAATGAGTGCTAGTTATAATATTAAATACTATTAGGATGGGTGATAATCTTTTTGTTGGTTTTATAAAAGTGGATGGTGACAAGCAGGGCTGCAGGCATGGGTGAGTTTTGAAATACTGAAGCTCCCATGTCCAATTTTCTTTTCCTCCATACTAGGACCACTGAGATTTTCTGTGTTTCTTTCAGGTTGTTCTTCCTCCAAGCAAATGATTGTCTGCTCTGGAAAATTCACACAAGCCTTTCTTTTTCTTAATTTCTCCCTTGAAATCCACATTTTAGTGTGGGTAAAAAAGTTTCTTTTTCCTAAAGCCATTCTTTCTCTTATTACTGTTATTCCATAGTTAAAGATTAAGGGTTAAAATTTCCTACTTTATGGGCTATCTTTATTTAGCTCACAGATCTGATTTGGTAGCAAGTTCCATGTGATAAAATATTTTTTTTGAATGTATTCTTGATTAGGAACAATATTTTATTATTTATTTATTTATGTTGTTTTTAAATTTCAATGCTCATTTTAGATACAAGGGTTACACGTACAGATTTGTTACGTGGGAATATTGCATAATGCTGAGGTTTGGAGTATGGATTCTGTCACCCTGGTGGTGAGCATACCATCTGATAGGTAGTTCTTAAGCCCACTCTCTCTTTCTCCATTAGTCCACAGTGTCTATTGTTCCCATATTTAGGTCCATGTGTTCTCATCATTTAGCCCTCACTTATTAGTGAGGACGTGAGGTATTTGGTTTTCTGTTATTGTGTTACTTTGCTTAAGATTATGGCCTCCAGATTCATCCACATTGCTGCAAAGGATGTGATTTCATTTTTTATGGCTATGTAGTATTCCAAAAATCTGGTGTACAGATTTCTTCAAAAACTTAAAACAGAGCTACTATTTGACCCAGTATATACCCAAAAGGTAATAAGTCACTTACTAAAAAGACAAATACGTATGGTCAACCTAAATGCCCATCAATGATAGATTGGATAAAGAAATGTGGTACATATACACCACAGAATATTATACAGCCATAAAAAAGAACGAGATCATCTCCTTTGCAGGGACGTAGATGGATCTGGAAGCCATTATCCTCAGCAAACTAATGCAGAAACAGAAAATCAAATACTGCATGCTCTCACTTTTAAGTGGGAGCTGAATGATGAAAAGACATGGACACATGGTAGAGAACAACACACACTGGGATCTGTCAAAGGGTGGTGGGTAGGAGGAGGGAGAGCACCAGGAAGAAAAGCTAATGGATGCTGGGCTTAATACCTAGGTGATGGGATGATCTGTACAGCTAATCACCATGGCACATCTTTAGCTATGTAACAAACCTGCACATCCTGCATGTGTACCCCTGAACTTTAAAGTTGGACACTTTTTTTAAAAATACACATGTACCTATAAGATCATCAGCACACTATTCACAACAACAAATGTATAGAATCAACCCTGGTGCCCATCAGTGGTAGACTGGATAAAGAAGTTGTGGTACATATACACCATGGAATATTACACAGCCATGAAAATAAGAATGAAATCAGGAACAATACTTTAAATCTTTGTACTTGGATTGGGGTCTTTAGAAGGGTATCCAACCAATACTAACTACTGTTTCCTACTGTCTTTCTCTGAAACACTTGGCAACTTCACTTCCCAAGCCTGAGGTATGAAGATGTTATATTGCTAACTTTAACATACATGACCACTTTTAGCATACACTATGTTCTACCAATAATAAAAACTTTATATATAAATGATGTGTGTGTGTATGTGTGTGTGTGAGAGAGAGAGAGTTAGGTATTATTATTGTTACTATTACTTTATCATTAAGAACATTGAGAATTTGAGAAGTGATGTGATGCTCCAACATTATATGGCTAGTTTGAGAGTCAAGATTCAAGAGTTAAATCCATCTTCAATCTAAAGTCAAAACTTTCAGCCACATCACTGTCAACATATGTAGATGTGCTAATAATAGTAAGAATGAGATTATTTTAAAAAGTTAAAACACAGGTCATAGCTTGTTAATTCATTTAACACCCTTTTGTAGTTTAAAGAATGAACATTTCACCCTTTTCTGTTTGTTTTTGTTTTTGTACCACTCATGAGAAGCCAATACATAACGAACAGATAAAATTACCACCTAGTCAATCAGAGTATCATCTATCTTATCTTTTGTTCATATCTTTGGAGGAAGAAGCATGTTTCATAAGAACCACTAAATTTCCTATCATGGAACATTTATGCCCTACGCCCACCTCAGTATTTTAGAAAAAAATGTTGAAAACACCTATTTCTGCTCTCAAGTAACTTACAGTAGGTGTAGCTGCCCCACTGCTTTTGCATGAGTTATACTTCTCTCTAAAATGTTTCTTAGATATAGAAGCTTACCTTACAGCTGGAGGAGCAGAAACAGCCAATACAGAATAGTTTGTCTGTAATCAGAAAATCAGCCATGGAATATTGCATTAATATGTTTGGAGAAGCTTGCTTTCAGGTACTGGTCAACAGGTTTCAAGGTCTCCAGGCATGGAAAAATAAAGGGAAGAGCATTAAGATGGAACAAGTCCTGAATCTCCTATTAATTCTTTCTGGGAACTTAAAGGAGTTACTTATCTTCCCCTTTCTCGAGAAAATAAACATGTTAAGATTACCTCTCTCACATAATTCACAGAATTGCATCTGTAAATAACAAGTAAGTGAGGGCTGTAAAACATCTTGCTAAGGGGTCATCGTGCAAAAGTCAGTCAATGTAATTTTTAACTTGGGATGTTTTCCCTGAGCAGGGTTGAAGGTTCATAGCAAAGCCTCAGGTCAGAAGGCATGCATGAACTAAAAACAATTATCCTTTTTTTTTTTTTTTTTAAATTTATTTATTATTATTATACTTTAAGTTGTAGGGTACATGTGCATAACGTGCAGGTTTGTTACATATGTATACTTGTGCCATGTTGCTGTGCTGCATAATAAATAAATTAAAAAAAAAAAAAAAAAAAAAGAAAGAGTGAAGTCAAAAAAGGAAGAATGTTTGAACTTAGGCAGTTGATATATTTAGTATGAAACATGTATTAACCTAAAGGTTTCAGAAATAGAATTGAAAGAGAAACAAATGCAAGCTGACTGTTATCTTCTAATTTTTTTGGTTCTCCATGGCATCACATAAAATGTTAAATATCCTTTGTACATGAAAAGATTTGAATATATGCTGATTCCCTGGAAAAAAAAAACAAAAAAAACAAAAACAAAAAAAAACCCACAATTATCCTTTAGATGAATAAATGATGATCCATGGAGCTTTGTACACAGTGTGGTCTCTCTAAAACTACATCATGTTGGGAGTCATGTTGGGATTTCATATGCTAATATATGGAGATATGAGGAGAATTATAAGGGCATGGAGATCTCTGGAGATGTTCCCTGTGAGAGGATCTACAGCTCCTCATTCTACTTTCCTGGTGAAGAAGCAATTAAAGCTGCCAGTGGGGATCAAGCTTATTATTTTTAATATACCCACATAATTTGTGTGCATATTAAATTTGTTATTTCTTTTTTCATTCGCTAATGAATGCATAATTTACATACAGTAATACCCAGTATTAATACACACTGTACTGTATAGTTCTAAGAATTTTGTCAAATATATGGTCACATAATGACTACAACAATTACATTAAAAACATTTTCTAAGCCTACTTTTTGGTAACCTCTTTTCCCACCCACTATCCTGGCAACAAGTAAATTGTTTTTGTCCAAATAATTTTGCTTTTGCTAGAATGTCTTTAAATATAATCCTAGAATATGTAGTCTTTGAGTCTGGCATCTTTCACTTTCACTTAGCAATTGAAACCCATATATATTGTTGCCTATGTCAGCGTTAAATCTTTTTTATTGTAGAAGAATATTGTATTATGTGGACATTATAGATTGTTTTTCTCATTGTGCAACTGAGGAACATTTGTACTGGTTTTAGAGTTTGGTGAGTAGAAATAAAGCTGATCTAAGCATTTCATTAATGATTTCTGGGCGAGGCACTGTAGCTCATGCCTGTAATCCTAGCACTTTGGGAGGCTGAGGTGGGTGGATCACTTGAGGTAAGAAGTTTAAGACCAGCCTGGTCAACATGGTGAAGCTCAGTCTCTACTAAAAATACAAAAATTAGCCAGGCATGGTGGTAGGCACCTGTAATCCCAGCTCCTCAGGAGGCTGAGGCAGGAGAATTGCTTGAACCTGGGAGGCAGAGGCGGAGGCTGCAGTGAGCCAAGATTGTGTCTCTGTACGCCAGCCTGGGTGATAGAGTGAGAGTCTGTCTCAAAAAAAAAAAAAGATTTCTGAGGTGAACATAGATTTTCATTTCATTTGAATAAATATTGATGAGTCAGACTGAATTGTTGCATGGTAGGCACATGTTTATCTGAATAAGAAACTGTCAACATCTTTTCTGAAGATACTCTATTATTTTGAATTCCTTCTAGCAGTCCATTCAAATTGTCTCACCTCTGTGTCAGCATTTTATATTTAAAAATTTTGTGGCCGGGCGCGGTGGCTCAAGCCTGTAATCCCAGCACTTTGGGAGGCCGAGACGGGCGGATCACGAGGTCAGGAGATCGAGACCATCCTGGCTAACCCGGTGAAACCCCGTCTCTAGTAAAAAATACAAAAAAATAGCCGGGCGAGGTGGCGGGTGCCTGTAGTCCCAGCTACTCGGGAGGCTGAGGCAGGAGAATGGCGTAAACCCAGGAGGCGGAGCTTGCAGTGAGCCGAGATCCGGCCACTGCACTCCAGTCTCGGTGACAGAGCGAGACTCCGTCTCCAAAAAAAAAAAAAAAAAAAAAAAAAAAAAAATTTGTAATTTAATTTTTTTTTTACTTCTTTTTGTTTTTCTCTAAGACATTTCCTTAAGAATTTTCTTAACACTTACCTACCTTATCACCACAGTTCTGGCCTGGGGATGCTTTTCTTTTCCAACAAAGGAGACAGATTCATCCTTTTGCATGGATTCATCATTTGCACTGTTGCTTCTGAGCCCACACTACACTCCCAAGCAGACTTATCACATCTCTCTTAGTACAAGCGAGTGTCATGGTTAAACATTTGTTCTGTGCACCATGGTTGCTTCACCTCAAATTTGAGTAAGAAATGTAGCCTTTCCAATTTCAGCTTCCTTCTGTAAGAAAGAAAATATTATCTTGTCATTCACATAAGATTTTCAAAAAGATAATCACATGACATATTTATAGAGCACAGCACACTTTCTACCACATATCAGGTGTTCAATAGGTTAAATATTAATATTTATTATTTATAATATTTTCCATAGATAGGTCACAAAAATAGTGGTACACAAACAATCCACCTGCTTTTCTACATGTGTATGCCCCATTCCAGCTAGGCAGGACATATAATAGTTCTAGATAATGAACTATAGAAAAAATTATAATGTTGGTTGAAACATACATACTACTCTCCAGTTATCTCATCTCCTGCTATGATAATCAAAAGGCTTAATGTTCCAGCAGGTGCAGAAACAGATGATGATACCTTCATCAGCAGGTGTCTTTGAGTGACCACATACAGCTTTTCACTTAGCCAGACAACCTGTATGACAGACATGTAGTAGCATAAGTAAGAAATAAATCTGTAGGATGCTGAATATTTATCTTCCAAAATATCAGATTCTAATACTTGGAATTGGTAAATTATACCTTATATGACAATTGCTTTGCAGTTATGATCAAATTAAGGATAGTGAGATGGAGATTAATCTAAATTATTCAGTGGGCTGTAAATGTAGTTACCAGTTCCTTCTAAGATGGGTGCAGGAAAAATGATAGATTAGAATATTTTAAGGGCCTGTTACTCCACAGAAACACAAAAAAGCAAGCAAAAACTGGCACAATCAACTTTGTTTGAACTCTGGAAAATAGTCAAGGATCTACAGAAACAAAGAGAATGATGATTCAAGAAAAAGGTGACCTCACATGACATTTTTAGGAAGTATCTGTTAAACTGCTATGTGACCACAAGTAAAGAAACAAAGACATCAGAGGCCACATATGATAATAAATATATTCTTTCAAATATTTTAATAAATAAATAATAAAACTCACTAAATAAACAACTGCACTCAGAGCAAGCAAAAACAAATGAAACTGGGGGTAGGAGGGGAGATAATTTGACTTCCAGAATTACCATACTATAATTTTAAAAATATCAAACTTTCAACCAAAAATAAGAGACATATGAAGGATCAAGAAACCATTTCCAATTTACAAGAAAACTGAAATTGTCCTGAGGAAGCATAAGCGTTATACCTAGAAGACAAAAATCTTAAATCAATTGCCTTAAATGGGCTCAAAGGGATTAAGGGGAAAAATTGACAAGGAACTAAAGAAAACTAGGACAATAGTGTTTCAATACATAGTAAATATCAATTAAAAATACAAATTACTTTTAAAAAATCAGAATTTCTGGAGCTGAAAATTACAATGAGTGAAATAAAAATTCACCAGAGGGTTTTAACAATATTTGACAAAAGAAGAAAAAAAATCAGTGGATTTCTTTCCTTCCTTCTTCCCTCCCTTTCCCCCTCCTTCTCTCGCTCCCTCCCTCCCTCTGTCCCTTCTTCTCTTCCTTCCTTCCTTCCTTTCTTTCTTCCTTCCTTCCTTCTTTTCTTCCTTCTTTCTTTTTGAGACAAAGCCTTACTCTGTCACCCATGCTGTAGTGCAGTGGTGTAATCATGGTGCACTACAGTCTCCACCTCTTGGCTCTAAATGATCCTCCTGCCTCAGCTTCCCAAGAAGCTGGGGCCACAGGCATGCACCAATACACCTGGATACATTTTCTTTTTTGTTTGTTTGTTTTTGAGTCAAGATTTTGTCATGTTGTCCAGACTGGTTTCGAACTTCTGAGCTCAAGTGATCCATCTGCCTCAGACTCCCAAAGTACTGGTATTATAGACATGAGCCACCATGTCTGGCCAAATCAATGAATTTCTAGACATGTCAATTAAAGCAATCCGGGCTCAGGAGAAGAAAGGAAAACAGAATGAAGACAAAATGGAAAGAGCTTGAGACCTCTTGCATGCCATCAAGTATACCAACGTGAGCACAAATAGAGTGCAAGAATGAGAGGTCAAATAAGGAAAAGTTGGTAAGAAATATTTGAAGAACTATGGCCACTAACTTCCCAAACTTCCCAAACTTGATTAACTTCCTATATAGGTGAAAGTTTAGAGAGGTGTTTTGGGTCATGAGAGCTCAGCTCTCATGAATGGGTAGATCCCTTCATAGGATAATAGATTAATGAATTCATGGGTTAATGTATTAATTAGTTTTCATGGGACTTGGACTTGTGGCTTTATAAAAAGAGGAGATCTGAGCTAGCATGCTCAGTCCTCTCACCATATGATGCCCTGTGCTGCTACGAGACTTTGCAGGGAGTCTCCACCAGCAAGAAGGCCCTCACCAGATGTGGCCCCTCAACCTTGGACTGTTTATTCTCTAAAACTGTGAGAAATAAATTTATTTTTAAAAATAAACTATCTAGTTTTAGGCATCCTGTTATAAGCAATATTAAATGAACCAAGGCAATTAATGATGTTGAACAACTTTTCATATCCCTGTTGGCCTTTTGTATGCCTTCTTTGGAAAAATAGTTATTCAAGACTTTTACCTATTTTTAAATAGAATTAATTTTTACTATTGATTTGTAGGAATTCCTTATACATTTTATTTTTTCAGATGGGGGTCTCATTCTGTCACCTGGCTGAAGTGCAGTGGCACAATCATGGCTCACTGCAGCCTCAGCATCCTGGCTTCAAATGATCCTTCCACCTCAGCCT